CCAGAAACCACACCTTGATTTGTCTGATGGCAGTATCCTCGCTGAAATTGACGAAGAGTTCCATATACCCCCATGGTTTAGAGGTCGAGCCGTTGAAGCCCTATAGGTCAGACCCCACATACGGTGATAGGTGAGAGTCGTCGAGCTGCAGGGTTCAGAAGAGTTGGCTATACATCACGTCGACAAAACTCACTTCGTCGACCAGAACGCGATGAACGTCAAAGTTGGCCATCCTCGCCATGATCAGAAGATGGATGGCTGAGTTAGGGGCCCATCCGAGAAATTCTTTGAGGTAGAAGGTAATCGGCTCCGATCTGCCCTTAACTCTCTCGAATGTCACCATTTGCAGGGGGGGGGGGGGGGGCGCGTCGACCAGCTCATCCATTTTCCTCTTTGTGGAATTTATGGTTATATCATTAAATCCCCCACCATTTATAACCATGGCGGAGGGGAAGCTTTCCCACCTGTCGTGCATAGACAGAGGCTCTTCGATATGTTCGGGGACGTAGAAGTCCTCCGGTCTCATAACGAAGAATGCAGTCTGGGTGGGGACCGACTCGTCAGATGGTCGGGCATCCTCCTCCATCTCCTTTGTTTCATGGGCATCTCGATAAGGGGCTTCACCGCACTGGTATTTCCCGAGTCTTCCCCCTTTTATGAGGGTCTCAATAGCATCTTTAAGATGGACGTACTCTTCAGTCAAGTGTCCATGACTTCGATGATATTGGCAATATTTGCTCTGATCTGCCCCGGGCTTAGCTGGAGCGAAGCGAGGACGCTTGATGTTGCCGTCCTTGAAATCTGTGTTTGCACACTCCGCCAAGATGCGCTCGCAGGAAGCTTTCAGTGGAGTGTACTCGGTAAACCGCACCGAGGGTCCTCTATGCTCGCCAGGATCTCGTGGCTTGTCATCTCTCCTCTTCTCGCTCGTTCATCAAGGAGGGCCTGAATCTTGTTGTCGCAGATTGCTGGTTGATCCGTGGTTTCTTGGGTCTCGGGCTCTATTGGATGCTTCCTTCTCCTTGTAGTCCATATAGGCTCTGGCTTTCTCGAGGAGGGCATCGAATGTCTGTGGTAGTTCGATGCCAACGGCTTTTCTGAACTCTGTTCCCGGGAGGAGTCCCCTCTCAAGCAAGTATCTTTTCATATGATCGGTACAGGGGACTTGGATGGCCTTCTGGTTGAACCGATCAATAAATTCCATGAGGGTCTCGTCATGCCTCTGGATGATAGCCTCGAGGGCAGCTTCAGTCTTCGAATGGCGATGCGAAGCAGTAAAAGAACTGATGAACTAGTTTTTTAAATTCCGCCAGAAGGTGATTGACCCCGGGGCGAGGCTCTTATACCAATCCATCGCAGCTTTCCTCAAAGTCGTGGGGAACAACCGACATTTGATTGGTCCCCCAATATTATGATAACGCAGCATTGCCTCGAACCCGTCGATATGGTCGACCGGGTCGGCAATGCCGTCGTACTCCTTCAGATGGGGAGGCTTCTCCATACCCGGGGGATGGGTGCCTCCATGATAGCTTATGACAAGGGACCGCGGGGGTCGTCTTCGTCACTTCTGTATGACGAGCGAGAAGGAGACCTGTTGTAGTGGCGGTTGTGATGGTGACCCTGGTCGCGAGGAGGGTTCCTCGGGCGGTGTGGTCGTTCGACACCCCCCCCCCCGTTCCTGTTTCCAGGGGGTCTTTGCTCTTGATGTGGAGGGACGTGATCACGTCTCCCCGTATCTACAGGCTGATCCCTCTCCAACGCGGGGCATCGCACGATTGGTCGAGGAGAAGGGCTTCTAGAGGCCTCCCGTCTACGTCTCTGTGGGGGAGATTGGGGATGGTCCTCTATCTATCGAGGAGGAGGAGAGTCAAGCCTCCTGTGTCTTCTAGGGGCTCTCCAAGATTCTTCGAGCGCCCTTAGTCTCTTCCTATGAGCGAAGATCAGGTAGTTAGTTTGGTTTATCACCGCGAACAATGCCCTGGTCGTGGCATCTGCTCTGACGGGGACAAGTACCTCCTAGAACTGGTTCGGTTGGTAGTTCAGAGGAGGAGGCTGATCGTCTTCAAGTCGTCGAGATAGTGATGATGACGAGGCACTTGCTCCATCTCTATATTCTGAAGGGTCGGGCATATCAATAGTGGGGCCCGTGTTGTGGCCAGCAGTACCAACATTATTGATGTCAGCGTTATTGTCGACGACATTGTTGTTGACGTCGGTGATACAGACGTTCAGTTTGTTTTCTGCTGTTTGATCAGCCATGACAGTCAGAAAAGAGTGATTTATATTTAGTCTTGTGTGAATGGAAGACGAGAAAGCAAGTTTCCCACAGACGGCGCTAGTGATCATACCGGATCAGAATGGACCGTCACAACTTTCACCGAGCAGAATTTGAGTGAGGTATGGGGGGTACCTGCAAGACACTCTGATGCCAAAGTAAGTTGCGGAATGAGCAAGCAAGTATGAGAGTAAGAAATGTTGAATACCTGACCCTCTCGAAAGAGAGGGTATTTATAGTCCCCAGCGCTGGGCTAAGGTCTCCACATTGGACTGGTCAAGCAGGCCCAACGTGGAGACTGCCAGGTCCTACGTGAGTAGTAGGGTCCCGCACGTGGTTCCCTACCTGGATAACGTCCTCCGTAAGGTCAGGAGGATATGGATGTGATCTTTCCGAGACCACGAAGACTCCGTGATATCCAGAGACGTTGAGAGTCATCCCTACGAGAAGGATGCTCGCGAGGAGCATCTGTCCGTCGAGGGTGATCCCCGCCATACACGAGGTTGAGTGAGGGGACCAGTCTTGGTCGACAAGATGGTCGGGGGTGTCCTCGAAACCTTCCTGATCGGAGGTGACCGTCCTCAGTTTACTCGGGCGTTATCTCCATGTGGTGAGGTTGTCTCCTCGTGGGGGAAAAGATGGTAGTTGCCCGCCGCATTCGAGGATAGAACCAGTCAGTGGTGCAGGTCGACACACTTGAATTGGGCCTTATTAGGAGTTGGACCAAGGACAAACTCAAACTCAGTCTAAAAGAGTTACCAACATGACGTTCAATATATTCCATATTTTTAGATAAGAAAATGACTGTGCAGACAAGATTACCAACCTTAATCTTTCCACTCAAGGTGATCGTTGGTGGAATTTTACCCCATATTCTATCAAACCATACTTTACTTATAATCATCTAGGTTTCTCTTGTTTTCAATTTTGTTTGATTTAGAGAGTTTTGACTCTATATCTCCCATCGATTCATGCTTTTCTTTTTTTCTCTCTCTCTATTATCATATTATCATAGGTGATAGGTGATGCTCATAACACATCTCTTTTTAGTTAAAAAATTCAATAACATAGTAATTAATTAAATATAAAAATATATTCATATTAATGGGACAAAGTCAATAACTTATTTAAATTACATTGATCTTAAACTCTGTCATATTTAAAATCAACCTTGTAAATTGTAACATTTGTTAGTTTTATTATTTCCTACCAAAAAAAAAAAGTTTATTGTTGAATAAATATTTTCAAACTTTTAAAAAATTGTTACAAATATTTCAAAACATTATTACTAACTATTCAAAAATGGTCAAAGTTTGGTTCAAGAAAAGACAATTCTACTAGGCAACCCATGTCACAAACCATTGAACGTTGAAACATGCCTTTCATTTCCTCACCCTCTTTTCATTTCAATAAGCAATTATTTGAAACTGGAAAGTGAAAAACTAAAAAGCACTTTTTTTTTGTGGGCCCCATTACAAGCTGGACGGTAAAGATAAACTTGCTTTTCTTTTTCGCTTTTCCTCAAATCACTTTCTCTACCAAACGCTGTTATCACTATTCTTCAAAAAGAAAATTACATTTTAACCCTCTACTATAAATTTCACATTATTGCTTCACTATGTGGCAAATGGGAATGTGAAAATCCAACTTTTGTTCTTTCTCTCTCTTTGTTCAACCATCACTCTCACTTTATAGTTTTTGAATTCTCCTGAAGAATCAAGGTATGATCTTCAATCTGGTCAACTTTGTTATATATGTATATCTATATATGTATATCTATATGTGTATGTGTTAGTATCATATTGTATTGTTTTCAGATTCTGAGTTTGCTTCTAAGTTTCAGATCATAGTTTGTTAGTTGTCAAATTTTATTATATGTGGATGTTGACTGTGTTTGAGAACAATTTAAATTAGCTTGACTTTTTTTTTTTTTTATGTTGATTTTGGATAGTTAACAGCTAAGTGAATATTTGGTTTCAGGTTTGGAGCATCTAGAATTGATTCTGGATGTGTAGAATTGATTATACTTGAAGTCAGGATTTGTAGCTTTTGAGTCTAAACGTGTTTTTTACACTGAAAATTATTGTTCAGGTCACTTTTATAGGAATTCGTCCAATCTATGAATCACTTTTCCTTCAACTCATTTTTAACTATAATCAATTTTACGAAATCAATTAACTCAAAATCAATTTTCTTCACCGGTGAACCAAACACACGGTAATTGGGTTTCGTCTTCCCGTTTTCCCAATAGATGTAGATATTTGAAATTTGATGTATGATGATTTCAAATCTATAGAATATTGCAATTCAAATTGAAAGTTATCAAGCTGAGTAAGGAAACAAATTATGCAAATTCTTAGGCCTAAGTGAAGATAGTTGTTTATCAAACTTCTTAATTGTTGGCCATCCTAGCAGCATAATGATATAGTAAGAAGAAAAATATGATTTCTTAACAAAAAACAATCATCAATTCTTGTAGTGACATTATAATTCGAAGTTCTGAAAAATATGGATAATAACACAATGTATTTGATTATTATTCTTTCAATGCAACCTTACATGTTTGAGATTGTTTACATGATAGTAGGATGTGTTACTGGTATGAATTGGTTTATTTACTAAATCAAAAGTTCTGAGTATTTCTTAACCTGCATATGTTAATCTTGGTTTGCAGAATAATCCAGTGTTGCTTTTAACTTAGTGGAGTATTAGAGCTATAAAGACAATGCCTATTATCAATAAAGACTTGGATCCTGCATTCCAAACGGCAGGGGCGAACCCGTATCCTTACAATGATTTTTTTTTTATTTTTAATGTCTTACAATTTTTGTTAGCCTAACTAAGTGATAGTTGTCCTTAGGCTCAAGTTGTTCATGGTAAAAAGTGACAATTTATTGGGGAATCCGGGGTAGCGTTGGGAGAAGCAATGGACTAAACCTAAACGTCTAGAACCCCTAAGAGATCTTGACACCACATAATTATGCAAAACCTTAAGACATTAGGTATATGGGCTGCGTCTTTTATATATCGAACATTTCCTCCATTCTAAGTCGATGTAGGACTAACCATTCACAATTGATTCTTGATGACAACTTTACCAAAAGCCATGTGGTAAACTTGCATTAGCTCAACGTCATCGGAGACAAAAATAAAAATAATTAAATAAAGTTAGATATCTCCTAGTTCTTTAAAATTTCTGGTTCTGAATCGGCAACGCATTTAATTCTAAAATATATCATATTTCGAAGTTCAAGTTTTCTGCTTTGTAGACTTAACTTTAAATTGTCAGTGGCTTGGAAGTTTGGTGTATTGAAAACCAGGAGTTGGTGCTAATGTCTGAGTCAGACCATAGAAAATTCTATACCGGAAGTGCATACATAGTTCTGAATGTAAGATAATCCTCAATGGTTGCTTTATTTTATTGATGATCCCCTTACACCTATAAAAAAGTTGATCATCATTATAATGGAGTTTTTTATTTTCATTTGAATTATTTTGAGATGTAACCGATCTCGAGTATTTTACATGTTTGTGGCAACAGGCAGTTTTCCCCAAAAATGGCCCTCCTCATTATGACATTCATTACTGGCTTGGAAATGACACAAAAAAGGTTTGTGTTAACCATTATGTCATTCATTCTAATCATGTTCACTGCAGTTGATTTTATTATTTCTGTAATTTTTCATCAGGATTTATGTATTTTCAGGTGGATTCAAGCTTGGCATCAGACAAGGCACTTGAGTTGGATGCGGCCTTAGGATCCTGCAGCGTTCAATATAGGGAAATTCAAGGCCAAGAATCACAGAAGTTTCTATCATACTTCAAGCCTTGTTTAATACCCATTGAAGGAGTGTTTACTTCAAAGCAAGGGAATTTGAATGGTGAATACCAAGTCAGCCTGTACTCATGTAAGGGAGACTATGTTGTCCATGTGAGAGAGGTGAGTTGTCTTTTAGAAATTTGAATTTTAACTTCTTCTGTCGTTTGATAGTATGAATTATTGTATCTCCACATGTTATCTGAATTCTTGATTATTAACTTGTTTATTGTGCTTATATTTTCGTTAGGTTCCTTTTCAGAGGTCATCGTTGAATCACGAAGATGTATTCATACTGGACACTGCTTTAAAAATCTACCTTTTTAGTGGTTGCAACTCTACCATTCAAGAAAGAGCCAAAGGTTTGGAGGTTGTTCAATATATCACGGAGAATAAGCACGGTGGAAAATGTGAGGTGGCCACAATAGGTTGGAACATATGCTACTCTTTTCCCCTTCCTTTGTTAGTGCTTATATTTGTTTTCTGAGGGAAAGATATGGCAAGTCATACTTATACAATTAATGTAGAGGATGGAAAATTTGTTGGTGATTCTGATGTGGGAGAGTTCTGGAGTTTATTTGGTGGTTATGCTCCAATTCCTCGGGAACCGCCTGCTAGTCAGGAATCCGTGGCTCCATCTGCAAAGCCATTTTGGTGAGGTTCAGACATCTGTTTGTACAAGACTTTCATGAATGCATCAACTTTATTTCTCTTACTTCGATAAATACTTTTATTCTTCTTAACTAAGGATCGGTTTATCGTCAATTCCATGACAGGATAAATCTACAGGGAAAATTTTGTCCTATTGGAAGCAGTGCATTCAACAAAGAAATGCTGGAGTCAGACAAGTGTTATATGTTAGACTGCGATAATGAGATTTTTGTCTGGATGGGTAGGCAGACCTTATTGACCGAAAGAAGAACATCGATCAAAGCTGCTGAGGTAAGTGTTTCTTGTTTCTCAGTCTGAAGTTCCATCATTTATACTTCGTTAAAAGTCTTTTAAATCTATATGCGTTGGATCCAAATTTCTTTTTATTAATTCACGGTGAAGTCCATTTAGTCTTAGCAAATATAACCGTATGAAATGTCGGTTACTATAATGCACGTTACCAAGCACTGGATTAAGGGATTTACCTATTCTCACTACCATTTCCATTTTTCTAGGATTTTGTCAGAAACGAAGGAAGATCGAGCAAGGCTCATTTGACATTTTTATCAGAGGGATTGGAAAGTACTATCTTTCGGTCACACTTTACTAATTGGCCTAAAACAGTAGAACCTAGGCTTTATGAAGAAGGACGAGAAAAAGTGGCAGGTTTAGTACCATTCACAATTTAATTGTGCTTAAGAAATGTGCGATCAATGTGTCATCCATAGTTCATTTCTTCATATTTATTTTTCTTCCTCAGCCATATTCAAGCATCAGGGTTATGATGTGAAAGAGCTTCCAGATGAAAAGGATGATGAGCCATCTATAGATTACGGTGGCACAATAAAAGTAACTTCTTGATCAAAATCTGGATGTTCCTTATCACCCTATGGTCATATTTGCCTTTGCATGTGCTAACTGCTAACTGGCTACTGCAATTTCAGGTCTGGAGAGTGGATGGTGATGAATTATCCCTTCTTCCAGTTACCGAACACACGAGACTTTACAGTGGAGATTGCTATATAGTGCAGTATACATTTCCAGGAAACGGAAGGGATGAGACTCTGTTTTATGCCTGGCTTGGCTGCAGATGTGTAACGGTAGATGTTTTACCTATAATTCATAGAAATGGATTAATTCGTCATTATCAGATTAATCCATTTCTATAAAAACTTCAATAGAATGGTCAAACAGTAGCTGTTTATTTCAGATTGGTACTTGTTACTTAGATTTGGTGAAATAGTTGTCCATGAAATAATATTAGGTTTTAAAATATATAGAAAAATTCAGAAATAAAAATTTATAACTAAAAACTGTTTAAAATTCTAATTTTGTCGTTCGTGATGTACATAGTAGTTCCCGTTTGTTACCTTTCTTGATAACCTCAATTTCATCTAGTTGGATTAGGCTTAGTTGATGTTGCTCTGGATAACTTTTACTACAAGGTTCCCCTTTTTCTATGGTTTTGTCTCACAGGAGGATAAAACAGCTGCTATTTCCCACATCAATACTATGGTTGATTCGTCCAGAACTAATCCAGTCATGGTTAGTTATGTTCTTACTATGTTAAAGTGAAAGTTTCAAACTAATATTTGTACAATTTTGATCTTGTAAATTAGTGCTAGATTTGTACATCTTAAGCACATGTATAAATGAATTTTTCCCACTACTTTACTGTGCCTATTTATTCAATTTGCATTACATTACACGTCTTTTCAGGCTCAAATTCACGAGGGCAAAGAGCCATCTCAGTTTTTCTCAATACTCAAGAGGTTAATCGTATTCAAGGTATGTACTCAATATGATCTCATAATAAGGTTTGTTTGTATGTAATAATATTACAAAAACAGAAACATGCACCAATTCTTAAATTTTTCTTTTTGGGTTAAGGGGGGAAACAGTTCAGGATATAAGAAGTTTATAGAAGAAAAAGGTATAGTGGATGAAACTCCCAATGAAAACTTGGTAGCCTTGTTTCGAGTTCAAGGCACAAGTTCAGATAATATGCAGGCCATCCAGGTCGATCAAGTATGGTTCAATGACTCTTACATTTTTTATTCATGGTTGATCCCTTTCGTATCTTCATTATATCTTATCTCTATCGAGTCTTTTTTTTTCTTCTTTTCTTTTTTGCATCAATTGTTTTCTATATTACTCGAAAATTTATATTCAGGATTGAAAAAAGCTATTATTTTAATGTTAAATTTATGTTTTATTCCTAAGTATTAGTTGACTATTGATTATCATGTATTAAAATTGTTATAGGTTTCAAGTTCCCTGAATTCATCCTATTGCTATATTCTCCGAAGCGAAGCTGCTATGTATACTTGGATTGGGAGCCTATCTTCAGCAAGAGACCATAATCTTCTTGATCGAATGGTGGAACTGTTTAATGTATGACATTGCAATATGAGACCTTGCTATAAATTTTTATCTAGACAATATCTTCAAAGGAAGTATTTGATAACAAGTTTTGGCATTTGTTGATGCGAATTGCAGCCGACACAGCTACCTGTATCAGTGAGGGAAGGGAATGAACCTGATATTTTTTGGGATGTTCTTGGCGGAAAGGCAGAATATCCAAGAGAGAAAGAAATTCAAGGATTCATAGATGATCCACATTTGTTTGCTTTAAAAATAACCAGAGGTAACAAAATGAACCTTTTGAGAAAATAATCTAGATCTCGCTTGGTTTAGAATTATCGTGCGTGAAATGACAGGGAAAACATGTCTAATTGATGGTTCTGTTTCTCACGCAAATTTATTGGAATTTCAACTCAGGAGACTTCAAGGTATATTATTTCTAGATATTCAAAATTCTCGTGTACCTCCTATTAATTGAATGTGGTTAATTCAATGCGGCCTTCATGTAATGTTTCAGATGAAAGAGGTATACAATTATACACAGGATGACTTAATTACTGAAGATGTTTTATTGCTTGATTGCCAAAGAGAGATTTATATTTGGGTTGGTTTACATTCGGTCGTCAAATCGAAACAAGAAGCTCTCAACCTTGGCCTGGTAAGTAGTTTTCTTAACTAATTTATTGATGTACAAAATGAAGTAAAAAAAAGCTAGTATCAATGTAGTATGGATTCACTCTTTCCTCTATTATGTTTTTCTTATCATGAAAATTTGTCATGAGCAGAAATTTTTGGAAATGGATGTTCTTGTTGAAGGCCTATCCTTGGAAGTCCCTATTTATGTTGTAATGGAAGGTTATGAGCCTCTGTTTTTCACTCGTTTCTTTTCATGGGATCACTCAAAAGCAAATGTAAGTCTTCTTCCTTCGAAGTTATAAATACCAATCAGTGATCAAATTCCACTTTTCATGGAATCACTGACTATGAAGCACAAACACAGACACGAGACTGACACGTCGACACTGGTAATAATTTGAAAAATAAATAAATTGAAGGTAATACAAGTGTCGGTGTCGATGTCTGACACTGACACACTTTTTTCCAGAGGTGTTGGCGCTACAGAGATCACTGATCAACATACAGTGATGCTCGAATTTAAGAAGCATTCATGGAAGTTGTCATCCATCTTATTAACTATGTTAAATTAAATGATATTGTTGCAGATTCTTGGTAATTCATTCGAGAGAAAGCTTGCAATTCTGAAAGGAAACTCCAGGGACTCTACCCCTAATGGTCATAAAAGCAGTTCTAACATTCCCAGTGGCCGTCGAAGAAGTAGTTCACCTCTACCTAGGAGTAGTTCACCTCTACCTAGGAGTGCTGGCTCAGACTATAGGCAATCAGGCAATCGGCTTTTTTCAAGCCCTACTCCAGTTGCCAAGAATCTCTTTGAAGGATCTCCTGCCAATAACAGAGCTGGTAACAATAATCCTTTTTATCAACTTATGAGATGAAATTTAGGGCCTGTTTGGATTAATTTATTTGAGCATATCAACTGACTTAAGCACTTGTCAGATTGTTTGGAAAAGTTTAGAGAAACACATCAAATATATATCATTCAATCTTTGTTATTTTTCTTTACCAATTGTTTCTGCAGAACAAACAACAACACTGCTGGCTGATTCTCCATCAACAGAACTGAGCTCCTCAAATGAGACTTCAAATATCACCGAGAAGGACAAAAATATTGACCGTGACAGTTTGTCGATACACCCGTACGAGCGCCTTCGAGTGGTTTCTCCGAATCCAGTAACCGGCATCGATTTAACCAAACGAGAGGTATTTCCTGAACTAAAGAAATCTAGCATTCAGTTTTCTCACATTTCACTCAAGCTTAACCATTGTTATCTGCACTATTGTGATGAAACTGTAGACATATTTATCTCCCGAAGAGTTCCACGAAAAGTTCCGAATGCCAAAATCTGCATTCTATAAACTCCCTAGATGGAAACAAAACAAGCTGAAGATTTCACTGGATCTATTTTAGAGGATGAACAACAAATGTCTGTGTTTTCATTGTGGCATTATATTTCAAACACTATATATAGCATGATACAATTTTACCTCTTGAGTGTGTGTTATGCATGCGTGTGAATAGCTTAACATATTTTTATTCTTTCTTTTTGTTTTATGATGATATACTATTGTGATGTAGAACTTGTTCTGGTTTTCAATAAAAAATAAAGATGGGTTGAAATATACTCGTCTTTATTTGATGTAAATTTTTTTTTACTTTTTGGCTTTACAATACAAGTACAAGTACAAGTACGTGCACAATAAAAGTTTCTAAACTAGAGACAAAAATTATTTCAACATGAGAAGCTTATTGAAGAAAATCAAAGAGTTATTATTTAGGTGTCAAAATGGACGCGTCAAGTGAGATGGCGCATGCACTCACCTTTTTGTCCTAGGCGCCATTTCATTTGGCGCATACACTTTGTTTTAGTCAAGTGAGATGGTGCATGAACTATAAAAAGGGGAGGAGGCGCCATCTGAGATGGCTACTACGTGCAATTGTGTTTTCTATAAATAAATCACCTATTTCTCCATCATTCTTCATACTTTCTCGCACTGTCTTCTTATTTTTTCTTTGTTATTTGCGTCATGACTTCTCCCATGATTTTCACCAGAGATGGATACATTATTTTCTCGGCTACCAAACCTCCCATAAAAATGAAATTTTGGCACATTCACTCTATGGAGCGTCTGAAGAGAGAGTTGATGTGATGGCTAGAGGGAGACATCGAGGCTGGGGAACAAATTAGAAAGATCCAGAAAAGAAGAACAACCACCTCACTTGCAACTGGAAGACCTAATTTTTGGTTGGAGGAAGTCAAAACAGACAGAGACGTAATGGTGATGATGCATGGCTCAGATGAAATTGTTTTGACGGTTGTAATTTCTTAGACGTTTTGTGGTGTTTTTATTTGTTGTTTGCATATGTTATGTTGTAACAAATGCTCTTAATGAAAAAATAATAATGTTTAGAAGTTAAAAAAGTGTAGATAATTTGCATATAATTTTTATGTTGTCGAGCTTGTAGTCCGAGTGAAATAATTTTTTCGATTGTGTCCGACTTGACAATATAAACCACACTTTCTTTCTAGCTTGTCAAGGGAGTCAATTTCGATTGTGATACACTTGCTTTTGGGACGATCCTTTTTATTCCTTCGCATATGATCGTTGTGCCATACTATTTCCTCGTCGTATGCAGGCCAATAATTAGGTTTCGCTACCATTGGGAAGCCATTGTTATATACGTCGAGCAATGTTTCAGACTTGTAAATGAGATATAGAAGTTGTAATCCGTCTTGATGAGTATGCGCACATGCCACAATAACATGAGAGCAAGGCAAACGAAAGGCTTGAAACTTGCCACAATCACACCAACGAGATGGTAGTATGACCTTATACTCTTGTCTTGGCAGCCCCTCGTTGTGCTCAATTGTCTCTTTGACAATGAATGTTTGAATGTTTGAATGTAGAGGTCTTTAGATACATGTAGGATTAAATAAGTTTCATTAAATTTGAACAAGAGAAAAGTAAGCCACCACTAATTCGCCAATTGAATGGCGACACCTTTCAATTTTGCACTCATGCGCCAAGTCAAATGGTGCATCCCTACATGTCCAATCATTTTACATGCATGCGCAAAAGTCTGCCCCTATGCTTCCACCTATGCTGCCACCTATGCTACAACTAGGTCTGTCCCACGCCAAGTTGAATTGTGCGTGCTCTTTAAATTGCATATAGGCGCCATTTGACTTGGCGCATGAGTGACACGTGTCATGCATGCATGCAACCACCAACCACCTCATTAATTCATTGTTATACGGTTTCGCCTATAAATATGGCGCCTGAGAAACTTGTTTTGCATCACCAACCATCTCACTCTCTGATACAAACTCTTTCATTGTCTTATAAAATTTCAAATATGACTCTTCTCACAATAGGCGATTCTCACAGAAGCACAAGAGATAACATTGCAGCGTTTGTAAGTTTCTATAAATTCTTATATATTCTTGTATATTACATAGTTTTTATAAAATTATCATTCAAGTAGTCATCTTATGGACTTTTACACTATTTACATTTTGAATTTAGGATGCTAAAAAATTTAGAATTCGCTCACACAACTATATTACTCCTGATCCATTGATCGTGCCCTATCTCGAATATGCGGGGTTTGGAAATGTTATAAAAATCTCAAACTGCATGATTGATTCCAAGTTTATACTTGCAATGTCAGAAATATGGAGACCCGAGACACACATATTTCATCTATCAATAGGTGAATGTACCATCACACTAGAGGACATGTACATGTTATTGGGTCTCCCTATCGATGGTAAGGCGATTAATGGGTCGATTCAACAACCCAATTCTCTATACGAGGAATTTTTGGGCAAAGATATGGAGAAGGTAGTGGTGCAAGAGGCCAATGTATATTACTAACTGAACTCAAAAAACATTACGCGACTATTGAGTTGAATGAAAATTCGTCTGAGCTAGCAAGAGTAATAAAAGCTAGAAATTATATGATGATACTATTTGAAAGCTTGTTATTTTCCAAAAGTATAGGGAATAGTGTAAATTTTATGTATTTATGTTTGCTTAGGAACTTTGAAAAAACAAGAAAGTATAGTTGGGGTTCTGCTGTTTTAGCCCATCTATACAGTTCTTTGTGTAAAAATGCAACAAAGGACAAATGTACTTTTTATGGACACGCTTTATCATGTTTAGATCAAAAACGTGTGTAAAACTGGTGATTAGAAGGCGAAATATAGATTTTAAATTCTGACTTGGAACGAAAATTCAATTTCAAGTAGTTGACTTTGAACTCATAGTGTGCACGATTTAGGGAACCTTAGGACCAGATTCTTGATGCATTAGAAAGACGAGGTAACATTATTTATAATGTGCCAAGAAAGAGATCATTTGGATGCTTGAGCTAGAAGTTGTTCTTGGTCAAAATCAGAAAAAAATACTGACTTTTATACTCAGAATTTTTTTTAAGTTTTTCTTCAAAAATGACCCAAAATGTTTTGACTCAAAACAAGGTCTTATTCCAAAATTTTGTTTTGATAAATGATGCTAACTTGAATTTGACTCCTTAAAGATTATCGTTAAACTTGTATCACTCAAAAATTCCAAATATTGGACAAGTTATGATCCTTTGAATTTGATGAAAATCCATGAAGTGACCTATAATATTTTGGGTTCTTAAGGCATCTTCTAACCATTTTCATATTTTGTGCATAAAACAAGAGTGATGTTCACACTCGTATGATCATTGTGGAAGAAGAATGAGCTCAAGGAGATAAAAATTGATCAAGTTTAGACTTTTTGAAGTCACATAAGGGAATTTGATGGCCTATCTAGAGGACTTGTAATCTTTCTCAATCATTAGTGATCTTTCACACAAAATTTGCTTGAAACTTTTGAAGTGATTTGTTGATAACCCTTTAAAGAGAAGCATATATTTTGAATTACTAAAAAATCTCAAAATATGGACAAGATATAGCCCTTAGAAGTCCAAAACCCTAACTCCTAGAGCATTAAAATGGCTTGGGAACCCCTTTCAATTTTGACAATCTTTCTTGTACAAATACTTTTGTTATGTGAAGAGAAGTTGTTGCGGATGATAATAAGATCCTATAGTAAAAATAACCACTTCCAAATGTTGATAATTGAGGGAATTATGCACTTGTGACCAAGAAATCAAGAACTTGTCCAGTTAGGTCAAACTTCTTTAATCAATTTTTGCATATTTTGACTTCCTTTGGCAATTGAAGCATGATGAATCATAGTAGACCCTGTCATGACATTTATTTAAAACACTCTCAATGATGAAGCTTAATTTTCAACGAAGCTTTATTGAAGAAGTCATAGAAATAACCTCATGAACCTATGAATCAACCTGATGAAGTGTGTTGTTCCTTCACCTATAGTATCATCATTTCGAGCAAACATTCATTGTATTTGTTAGTTAAAATTTAATCAACACAAGATAAATATGACCACATTATGCAAATCAAAATGTTTGGTAATCCCTTATGAGCAAACCTAAAGATAGGGAGAAGAACCAAACCCTAGTGTGATCATGATATAATTGAGTTGATATGAGATGATAAAGGAATCTTAGGGGCAAAAATTAGGGTATAATAGAATGCGTCTCAAGAGACATCCTCTTGGAGGGTAGGACTTTGGAATGAAACCTATGACTCTCTGTACAACCCTTAAACCAAAATCTCATGACGAGACCTTTTCTTGACCTACAGATGAAAGTTTCGGTCTGCAGAGAGGCTCCACTTAAGGGAGGCATTTGTGCCTTTTCATGATATCCTTAAAGAAACCACTTTATGAGGAGGGTAGAATATCCATAGGAAAAAACTAGGAGCATACCTTATAAGGGTACCTTTCATGAAATCCCGTCATCAAGCCCCCCAATCATGCATTCATATATTTTTGCATTTCATATATTCATTACCCTCCATTTATTTTTTGTTTGTCTTATTCGCAGGGTAAAAAAATAATTAAAGGTTTTTGGTGAAGTGTTTTGGTGAAGTATTTTGGTGAAGTGTTTTGGTGAAGTATCCTAAAAATTAATACCAAAAGGAAACAACTTGTCTGTACCAACACCGTCAAGCAAGATATGACAAAAATCAAGGCTAAAAAAGGGAAACTGTCTGAAAGAGCTTTGAAGATGTTCACTCGTCGTTATGGGGATACACTTGACTTAACAAAATTAGAGGTACAATTAGATGTTGTTTATACCCTAATTCAGTTCTATGACCATCCATTGAGGTGCTTCACCTTTCAAGACTTTCAGCTAGCACCAACTCTGGAAGAATTTGATAGACTTTTAAAGTTTTCTAAAGAGAAAGCTTATATGGGTATCAGGAAGACTATTGACGTCAAAAACTTGGCAGAAGGTTTAGGGATCCCTTATCCAGAATTCTCATTTAATTACAAAAAAGAAGGTGACGTACGAGGGATTAAGAGATGTTACTTGGAGACTAAGGCATTTGATTTTGCCAATAACAAAGAATTGGAGTCTTGTATTGATTGTTTAGGACTGCTTGTGTTTGGTGTAATCTTATTTTCATGGACTTTGGACTATATTGACCATGCGACTATTAGCGTATTTTGGGGCTCAAGAGTTTTCAATACAGATCAAACTCCCGCTTTACTTGTTAATATGTATTATACACTTCATACGCGGTACGAAAAGGGAAGGGGTACTTTAAACGGTTGCATACCACTCTTGTATTGGTTTATGACTCATCTCTACAAGGAAGATTACATGATTATGAATCTGACAAGGTATGAGTGGCCTAAAAAATTAAGGTCTCTTACTGCTAATTATGTGTTGGGGTATGCGAGGAAGCTAGACATTGGAGATATCGTCTATAGTTGCAGAGACTTTCCGAATGTTCCGTTGATAGGATCACGAGGTTGTATCAGCTACAACCCTACCTTGGCCCTACAACAACTAGGGTATCCTTTGGAGGATAAACCCTCAGATAAACAACTCCAACAATTGATCATTCATGACATGGACAAAAATGACCAAGAGTTGCTCAATAAGATCATCCGGGCTTGGAATAGGGTTAATAAAAGAAAGGCTGAAAGAAAGAATATTGTGGAAAAAGAACCTTACACTCAATGGGTTTTGGATAGGGTACGAGTTGTTAAGTTACCATTTGACGTAGATCCTAAGTACAAGCCAGAGATCCTAGATTCTCCACTTATGTCCTTAGAA